AAGGAATTGAGAAAATTGGGGGAAAAATGGGAAAAAAATGGGAAAAGAGGGAAAAAATTTGGGAAAAATGGGGAAAAAAATTTGGGAAAATGGGGGGAAAATGGGAAAATTTGGGGGAAAAATGGGAAAAGAAAACGCTGGAAAATTGGGGGGAAAAAAAATTGGGAAAAGGGAATGAAAAATTTGGGAAAAGAGGAAAAAATGGGGGAAAAATTTGGGAAAATGGTGAGGAAGGAAATGGGAAAATTGGGGGGGAAAAAATTGGGAAAAAAATGGGAAAATGGAGGAAAAAAATTGGGAAAAATTGGGGGAAAATTTGGGAAAAGGGGAAAAAAAACTTGGGAAAATTGGGAGGGAAAATGGGGAAAAATCTTGGGAAAATGGGGGGAAAAAAAGGGAAAAACAAAACCCAGGAAAATTGGGGAAAAAAATTGGGAAAAGGGAATGAAAAAGTTGGGAAAAGGGGAAAAAATTGGGGAAAAATGGGGAAAAATTTGGGAAAACAGAGGAAAAAAATTGGGAAAATGGGAGGGAAAAAACGTGGAAAAGTGGGAATAAAAAATTGGGAAAATGGGAAAAAAATGGGGAAAAAACTTGGGAAAATGAGGAAAAAATGGGAAAAAATCCATGGAAAAAGAGGGATTTAAAGGGAATTCGGGAATTCCCGGAATTCCCGGAATTCCTGAGGCTTGGGCTCCTCCTTATCCCGATTTTCAGAGGCCGCGGCGAGCGAGGAATCGGCGGAGCCCGACGGGAAGGTCAGCGGGAATTTGGGAATTCTGTGAATTTGGGAATTCTGGAAATTCTGGGAATTGTGGGAATTGTGGGAATTGTGGGAGTTGTGGGAATTCTGGGAATTGTGGGAATTTGGGAATTCTGGGAATTTGGGAATTGTGGGAATTTGGGAATTGTGAGAATTGTGGGAGTTGGGGGAATGTTGGGAATTCTGGAATTTTGATAATTGGGGAAATTGGGGAATTGTGGGGATGTTGGGAATGGAGAATTCTGGGAATTCTGACAATGGTGGGATCGGGGGGAAGGTTGGGAATTTGGGAATTTTGGGAATTCTGGGAATTGTGGGAACGTTTGGAATTCTGGAATTCCAAGAATGGGGGGTGGGGGGATTGGGGAATTCTGAGAACTGTGGGAATGCTGGGAATTGTGGGAATTTGGGGAATTCTGGGAATTTTGGGAATTGTGGGAATTTTGGGAATCGTAGGATTGGGGAAAGATTGGGAATTGTGGGAATTTGGGGAATTTTGGGAATTCTGAAATTCTGATAATTGGGGAATTCTGGGAATGCTGGGAATTCTGGGAGTTGGGGGAATGTTGGGAATTGTGGGAATTCTGAGACTCGTGGGATTGGGGGAAGGTTGGGAATGTTGGGAATCGGGAATTTGGGGAATTCTGGGAGTTGGGGAATGTTGGGAATGCTGGGAATTGTGGGAATTGTGGGATTTGGGAATTCTGGGAATTCTGGGAGTTGTGGGGACGTTTGGAATTCTGGAATTCCGAGAATTGGGGGGGGATTGGGGAATTGTGGGAAATTTGGGAATTCTGAGAATTGGGGAAATTTGGGAATTTGGGAATTTTGAGAATTGGGGAAATTTGGGAATTGGGGAATTCTGGGAGTGGCGGGAATTTGGGAATGTTGGGAATTCTGGAATTCCAAGAATTGGGGGAAATTTGGGAATTCTGAGAATTGTGGGAATGCTGGGAATTGTGGGAATTGGGGAATTCTGGGAATTCTGAGAATGCTGGGATTGGGGGAAGGTTGGGAATGTTGGGAATTCTGGGAATTGTGGGAATGTTGGGAATTTGGGGAATTCTGGGAGTTGTGGGAACGTTTGGAATTCTGGAATTCCAAGAATTGGGGGAATTTGGGAATTCTGAGAACTGTGGGAATGCTGGGAATTCTGGGAGTTTGGGGAATGTTGGGAATTGTGGAATTCCAGGAATTCTGAGAATTGGAGGATTGGGGGAATTTGGGGAATTCTGAAATTCCAAGAATCGTGGGGATGTTGGGAATTTGGGGAATTGGGGAAAGTTGGGAGTGGTGGGAATTGGGAATTGTGGGAACGTTTGGAATTCTGGAATTCCAAGAATTGGGGGGGGGATTGGGGAATTGTGGGAAATTTGGGAATTCTGAGAATTGTGGGAATGTTGGGAATTGTGGGAATTTGGGGAATTTTGGGAATTCTGAGAATGGTGGGATTGGGGGAAGGTTGGGAATGTTGGGAATTCTGGGAGTTCTGGGAGTTGTGGAATTCTGGGAATGCTGGGAATGCTGGGAACTGTGGGAATTCTGGGAGTTGGGGGAATGGTGGGAATTGTGGGAATTCGGGGAATTCTGGGAAATTTGGGAATTCTGGGAGTTGTGGGGACGTTTGGAATTCTGGA